TTGGTTATCCATTTGGTTAACCATTTTCTAAGTGGATAATATGGTTCTTATCCATATTCAACCTGTTTTTAAAAAGTTCATTATCCAACCCATTTTTTAATGGATAATATGAGTGTATAACTGTTTTCTTTTAACCATTTTGCCACCTCTAGTTGCAAGCTTTCCTTCAATGGTTTCTCATTTATTAAATGACCTGGTCTATGAGCCTTCTGCATTCTGGGGGTGTGGGAAGGATTAAATATGTGCATCATTAACTCTCTCCACCAACAAGATTATCTTCTGTGCTTGAGCCTGGATCTCAAGGTTCACCATTGACTGAATAGTAACTACTGCTCCTGTTCTGAATGGTATCTTAAATCTGATGATAAAACAAGGGTTCGTGCTGTTTTGCCGCTAGTATGGTCTAATACTCTAATCTGCTATTATTATCCAGCCATGCCTAGTATGACACATGGTTTGATGTTGCTGTAAAATACCGTCTAGGTCTTGTTCTACTGGAGAAGTTGCAATGGTTTTTTACCGGCAGCTAGATCTTTCAAAAGATGTAGTATGGGAATTTAGTGCATTTGATTATTTTATCAGTGTCCTGCTTGTTGTATATAAGTGAAGCTTAGTTGCTGATTTCACCTACATCTCAGCTCAATTTTATGACGGGGGTTTATTAGTCATCATTTTGGTCCCTTGGTATGTGTACTTTTACATGGGTGTCTCTTATTTCTCCCCCTCCCGTCAACCTTAGCCTCTCTCCTTTTGTGAACAATAGCCATATAGGTACTTTTACTCCGCCAATGGTATATACTGTTACACACTATTAGGACGATAAGAAGTATATATTGTGTACAACCCAAAATATAGATGAGACTTTAACCAAAGGCCTTTTAGTCTCAGGTGTCGAAGTGTAACTATTTGGCTCAAGAGTAAATGGTGCCAAGAGCATATTGACACTATATATGTGTACAGTCCAAGTCATTTAATTTAACAGAAAAGCACTAGCCATTTGGTTTAGTGAAAAGTGAAATTACTTTAAGAATTTGATTCACTGAAGAGCGAGCGTGTTACTTATGCAATTTCATTTAATGTAGCATCCTCATTTTGCCTTAAAAATATCTGACATCCTTCTTCTTGCATATAGAATATGCATCTCGTAGGTAGAAAAATGCCATTGTAAACACCGACTTCTTTTTGCATTTTTGGTATCCTGTTCATCTGCAAAGTGAAGAGTCGAAACATGTATATGTTACTTTATCTAAGATGGGGAAATATGCATCCCATTAATAATCTTCATTGGTCATTATATGGAGCATCTCAGAGTCTCTATGCTGAAGCAAAACATGGCTCTACCTTTTATTGCAGAAATAAATACAGGCTGACACGATCTGATAAGTTGGCCGAGGCTGAGCGTGAGTATGAAATGGTCAGTGTGGTTTAACTTACTGTTTTGTATGGCTTTGGCTAGTCGTGAAACTCCACGTGTGATGACTGACATTGTCTTTCTGTGCAATACAGCTCAAGGCTGAAGGGGAAGAAACATCAAGAAGATTTGATACGATAGTGAGGCTTATGAACGAAGAGATCATCCGATTTCAAGAACAGAAGACATTGGATATGGGTCTTGCTTTCCATGAATTTGCTAAGGGACAGGCACGGTTAGCAAATGGCATAGCAGATGGATGGCGAAGTCTTCTTCCCAAGCTCGAAGCTTGCTCTTCATAATAGTTTCACAACAAAATGCGACAAACATCAGCACAATCTGCTCTCAACATGAGGGCGTAAATGGAAATTGTTGCGTTGGGTTTGCGAAAGGGTCTTTGAGAATTGTTATTGTTGCTGCAGCTTGGTGGTTGTATGAATTTGGTTTAGATACTTGTGTAACTTGTACAGCAGCGAAGAGAAAATTGAAAATAGCTTAGAATTAATTTGGGTCAATGTGATAGACGAAGTTCCAAACACTAAATAAACTTGTTTACTCCATAATTCTATTCTTCTTTCTCTTAATCCCAATTTCCAGTTTTCAATTTTGTTTGCAACAATTCCACAGTAGCACATCTCTGGTAAATCATTTTTCAAAACATGTTTAAGTATGATTCCAATTTGGATTTCTCTACGATATATCAAAATGGAAAGCTTATTTTAGGGAGATTGATTTAGCTTCCTCAAGTAGGAAAGGGGATGCTACAATTATGATAATGATGGAATGAATTATTTGCTTCAGAGTAGGGAAATAAAGAAGGATTTAAGTTATATAAATTCATCGCGTGATATTTTTCATATCATCAGTCTAATTTAACCGATTATAGCAAATTATTAATCTATTATTCAGGTTAGGAAAATGACTTGCTATGAAGAGTTATATATTATTGTAGGTTAACATAAAATAATCGGACAATGTAAAAAATTGATATAGGATAAGAGAACTTAAACTCGAATATTGAATTAATGACACGACATTTGTTGTAGACTGTGCAGTAAGAGATTTATATGTCAGTAAAAATGTAGAATATTTAGCACGAGAGAAATTAATATTTTTATGTATTATTTTTGAAATAATAGGCGTGTAAACAGTCTTTTGCAGAAATGTACGATAACGCTACATACGGTTAACCCTTGTGGTCCGAGTCTGGCCTTTCCCCCCAGTTAATCTCACTTGCTTGAAATTGAGCATAGCAGCAATTTCTTGTTATTCTGCTGGGGACAGTCCACCACTGATTTGCAAAATCCCCTTATCCTATCTCATCATTATGGTCACAAAATAACCACTTGTAACTGTACACAGAAGGGAAGGCAAGTAAGTAGCCATGTCTTCCTTAATAACCAGACAACTTTTCCACATAACAAGTAGTAATTCCCAAGTGCAAATTTGTCCTTCCAGGTCTATTCCTGTGTTCCTAACCAACAAGACCAACAACAGTAATAGATTCTTTTACACCAGTGAGTTTTCAGGTTGCCGGAATTTGACTGTTCCAGTGAAGGCAGCTGCTAAGGATGGTAGTATTTCACCTAAGAATCAAGATGATGAAGATGGGGTGTCCTTAGGAACCATGAAATTGCCTCTGGATATTGATATTGCAAGATTTGAAACTCTACTTTTTCAGGTGCTTTTGATTGTGAATTTGTTTCAAGATAGTTACTTTCTTCCAAAATCTGATGTGATTTATGTTTAAATTTCTTTACTTTTAATTGTGTACAAATTCCTTTGATTGCAATAAGTATTTTTAATCCATTTAACTAGAAGTGGTAAGCAGAGTATGCTAGTTCTTGAATCCCAAAGTGACCCTTATCTTTAGAAACATAGACAGACTAAGATAAGTGATTTGTTGTATTTATAGTTTATATATAGAAAACCTCAATGATAAGTGCCAGCGGATATGAAACGGTACTTTTTTTTTTTTTGTGTAACCATATTATTATCGATTATCCTGATCTGATTAATCCAAATTCACGCCATGCCACATTGGGCCATTAAAGGGGAAACGCTCTCTGCGAGGGGGTTTTCCATTCCTAAAGTTGAACCACAGACCTCTGGTTAAGGGTAGAGGCATAAATATGAAAAATGTTATTATCTAAAGGGTATTTAACCTCAACAATTAGTCAGAATATACATAACTTATGTCAATTATCAGATACTCTCTGTCCAACCCAAAGACATTCAAAGGGGTTCAAGAGAATGACTAGTACAGAAACAATTTGCCTCCTTATTAGAGATTAGGTAAGGTTCTCAAAATTGGAACTCAACTAACTACACAAGGTAGGAGCTAGAGGGTATCCTCAAGTAGAGGCAGTGAAAAACAGTAATTTCCTAGTTTACCCCTGACACGTGCGCGCTCTTCCTGTTGTGTCTGGTTTCCATATCATCAGCTCGAGACCTAGAAGAGAATTATTAAGAATTGAAAGGAAGTCGTAATAAAGTGAGCTTGTGCTTCATTTCCCCTTTAATTTGGCCACTGAATAAGGAACTTTATGTTGATCATAGTTATTCTAGGTGCCCCTTTTGCATGCAAATTCTCTGCATAAATAACAACAATAAACTCAGTATAATCCCACAAGTGGGGTCTGAGGAGGGTAGTGTATACGAAGACCTTACCCTTAACTTGTGAAGGTAGAGAGGCATTTTCCGATAGAAAGCAAAGATGTAGATTTAAGCACTAATCCTTGAACATTTTCTACTAGTATCTTTGTCAATAAAAGGAGACATAAATGCCTCCTCCTTATGTTAATGTTAAGAATGCTTTGTTTTGTGACTTTGCAGTGGGCTAACAGTCTTTGTCAAGGAGCTATGCTGCCACTTCCAGTGCCTCTAAAGGTAACTCTTCCTGATTTCTAAGCTCGCTAGGTAGAGGCATATTCGGGATTTGAACTTTATCGGTTCGGGATTCTAGGCCAAAGCTATTGGGTTTAATAGCTTAACGGCATGCAGATCAGCCCCTCTCAGTAGGCTGTAAGTTAAACAAAAAATCCATAAGTTTATTTGTTTGGCTCATAGCATCTAAGTTTTGTGTTACAAAAAGAAGAAAAAAGGCATTGAAGTTGCAATAAAGGACGGATAGGCTCTACTTTCGATTTTATGTCTTTTGACTTCTTTCATATTCGTCTCCACCTCACACAAGGTAGAAGGCAAGGTAAAATGTAAGGTCTGGGTACATTCTACCTTCCCCAGACCCTACTTGTGGAATTACACTGGGTATGTTGTTGTTGTTGACTTCTTTCATAATCATCATTTCATTTTCCCCTCATTTTAGACTAATACTTTTAATGATACAAACTACAAAGGGTCTTAGTTCAGCAAAGTCTTTCTTATTGAAAATGCATACAATTTGCAGACTAAAAACTCAAACGATTCGTTTTAATGTTCATCAAGATGACTTACTAGTTAAACGTTTTGTGTACAGGTTGACAAAATTCCTCGCGGAGCCAGACTTGGTTTTATTACAGTTGAAGATGCACAAACTGAAGTTCTTGTATATATAGATTGTATGGTTTTTCCTGCTACGGATAACTCACCTCCAATATTTCGAGCCATAAGAAATGGACCGTCGAGAGATGAGGCGCCTCCAGGGGAGCCAAGAATCATGAGAAGTCTTTTAGGCGCTCTTCAGAAATCTGTTGAGATTGCTAGAGTTTGAAAGTTGGAACATTTCTTCTATTCCAATTGTTCTTTCTTTCGACACCCTTTTATGTATGAAAGCATTTCCTATTTTCTGTAATAGCTTCCCGATTAATCAATTTATCTGCATACAGAAAACATCCCACATTCACGCAGGGTCCGGGAAGTAGCGTAGCCACTGGTCAACATTGTAACTGAGATATCCTTAGAACTATGTACAATTCAACTCTATCCGTTTTTCGGGTAAACACAACCGAATACCCTTCATCGAAAAATTATAGTGTATTTAAAAACTTATATTGTGGATATAGGTCAAAATTTATTGTTTATCTGTATACCATTAAATTTTGAATACCCTTCGCGAAATTCCTGACTTAGCTACTGCCCAAGGGGTGTGATATAGATAGCCTAACATAATGTAAGCATTAGTGGCTGCTTCCACGACTCGAACCTTCGACCTATAGGCCACACAGAGACAATTGAATCGTTGTTCCAAGACTCTCCTTCTGATTAATCAATATACACGGCTTCTTCAAATTCAATAGAACTTCATTGAACTTGACTCTTAGTACAAGATAATGTGTGTATGTTCACGGTGTTTGCTTAAAAAATGTGAAGAAAAGTTTCAACCAAAATATATTTCAATTTCTTGCAAAAGACCGTTCTTACAAAAATTTGAAAAAGAAAAAATTTAAAACAAGTTTTTCAAAATTTTGAAACAAATGCCATTGTCTGATCCTGTTATTTTAGAAAATCCATATGAGGTACTTATATATTTTGTAAAGAGGGAGGGTAACCTCTTGGAGCTGTCAATTACAATGAACGCATAAATGTTTTACCCATTGTTAGATGTTTTTTTGATATTCAATATTTGTATTAAATAATCCATTTAATAGGTATAAAAAGAGGAAGTTTACACGGCTAAAAATATTTATATTCACTAAACATACATATATACTAATTAGACATCTGCAATTTATCTTTTTGAGTGGACGGCAATATAATATAGAAGTTTCATAAAAAAAAATTAACTACCAACTACTAACTAAGACGAGTTACAACTTGAAAAATGAAAACCATTGAGTTAGGACACTATCCATCTCACCTTTTACTATAGTGTACCAAAAGGAAAAGTAACTGCCTAACTGTCGTCAGTATCCAGCAAGTGGTTTAATTGAGAATTTGGACTTTGGCCTCATCCTCTTTGCCATCTTTGATTCTCAGTATAATCCTCCAAAACCCATCTTCTTCTTTTTTTCTTTTTCTGTTTTCAATCTTCACTCCCCATACTATTCATTCATTTCTTTCTAAAAAAAGGAAAGATGGGTTCTATCTTTTTTTGCTTTCATCCATTAATCCATACTTCTAATTTTAATTCCTCAAAGACCCTTGTTTTCTTTAGTTCCACTTTAAGTTCAAATCCAAAGAACCTTTCTTTCTTCAACTGCAAATCAAGAACTCAGTTAGTTTGTTCTTCTACATCTAAGGATGGTCCTGATTCTGTTCAATCTTCTGGTGATAATAATTATCCAAGGTTGGGTTATTAAATTTCTTATTTAATTCTCCAATTTTTTGCCTTTATTTTAATTTTGGTATTTTGGTGCTGATTTGTCCTAATTGATTATCCTAGTTGTGAGCTACAACAACAAACAATCCCGTATAATCCCACCAGTGAGCTTTGGGTAGGATAGTGTGTACGCAAACCTTACCCAGTAGGGGACCGTTTACGATAGACCCTCGGCTATACCCTAGTTGTGAGCTATTGGGGGCTTTTTAGTTTGTTCAATTTGGTAGCTTTAGCTTTAGAAATTGGGAATGTTGTGTGTTAGATTTTAAGGTAGAAATAATCTTCCTTTGACAGTTTATTATGTCCATTATATATGGATGAAATATGATATTGAAACTGTATATATGTTAAAAGGTTTGTTACTTTAGCATCTGGTTAACATCATTTTTGCTTCTTATATATTGGAGGTTTGATTTCCAAGAATTTTTTCCTTTTTATGAAGAAAACAGAGAGATTTTGGTTGAGAAAATTTCGGTTTTCTACATGGTATTAGAGTAAGACGCATCCCAATTCTTAGTTTATACACCGACGTTGGACCCGATATTATGTTGTCCACGCTCCAGTTGGCAAGCCTGAGCTTGCGGGGGTGTTGAGTTGCCCCACGTTTGGTTGTAGGATGGATGTGGGATTGGTCTCCTTATATGGTCACCCAAGGTCCAATTATTCATATTTTCGAATAACATTATTTTACTCGAAGTTCTGATAGTTAAAGTTAGTGCGTGAAATAGATCATTATGAAATATTTTGCTACAAATAGTAATTTTTAGAATGATGATTTTGGACTCATAACTTGGATGTATGTGAACTTTTTAAAGCGTAGCATGTCTCAAGTCCTCCCATCTGTCCAAGCATAGATGCACAGAGTTACCTGGTACTTGTTGCTGGTAGGAGGTAGTAGGTATCCCTGGAATTAGTCGAGGTGTGTGGAAGCTGGCCCGGTAAATGAGGAGGGTTGTTATAGGTTGAAGGCCAGAGAAAAAAATAGTTTCTAACTGTTGATGAATTCTTGGAATACTGAACTCATTTAGATGTTCGACCTGAATAGAGCGGAGCGGAATGGATATACAGGATTCATGTAGCTAACACCAACTACTTTAAGATTGAGGAGTGATTGATTGATTTTATATTGATTGCTGTTTTCAGACTCAATCTATAAGCTTGCATTCTTTTGAAGTAAACTAATGTTGGTCCATGTTTGCTATAGTAATTTCTGCATCATTGAAGGACCAGAGACCGTTCAAGATTTTGGTAAGATGCAGTTTCAAGAAATCCAAGATAACATAAGGAGCAGGCGCAATAAAATCTTCCTCCTCATGGAAGAAGTGAGTTTTCTCAAGTTCTAATGTACTGCCTACCAAAACTTGAAGGAATAACTTATTAGTATTTCCTAAAGGTTGTACTGTCAAAATTGCATCTTAAATTTCTGAATAATTTTCAGGTACGCAGGCTAAGAATACAACAAAGGTTAAAGACATCAAACACTAGACGTGAGACTGGTGAAGATGAAAATGAGATGCCAGATATCCCCTCGACAATACCGTTTATTCCTAACATGGTAATTTGCCGACTGCTCTAGTAAACAATTGAAGTACACCAGGAATTCAGTTGGTACATATTGGTTTGTTAAAGTATGCTACTTGACCAAGACCTTTTGTTTGTTATGATTAGCAATCTTTCTTTATAACTGTTGTCTGAATTAGTAACGTCTATACCTCTTCCTTTAACTTAGTGACTATAAATTTACTCCTTATAGCAGTAACTTAGTGCATTCGTTGTTTGTATCAGACTCCAAAGACGCTGAAGCAGCTTTATCTAACAAGCTTTTCATTCATAGCTGGGATTATGGTCTTCGGTGGATTACTTGCCCCAATAGTAAGCTCCTGAACTCAATTCTTTTTCTTCTTTTTTTCCACTTTATTTATTATTCTAGTGCTGAATTATGCATAACGGGATTGTGGTGTTATTTCGCTTGCTTATTCTTAAGTTACAAAGTCTTTTCGGACTACTGAACCTCTTTGACATGGCAGCTTGAGCTGAGATTAGGTATAGGAGGCACCTCATATGAAGATTTTATACGAAACTTGCATTTGCCTATGCAATTGAGGTATGTATACTGAAACCTGAACTTCATTTTCGAATTGTGCAAAGTTGTTTACCGCGTGATCTTTACTTCCCAAGAAAAGATGGATAAAATATGATGACAAAAAAAATAGAAGACCATTTACATCATTGAACTTTTGATATCGACTTCTTTTTCAATTATTTTCAGCCAGGTAGACCCCATAGTAGCATCTTTTTCAGGTGGGGCAGTGGGAGTCATTTCAGCGCTCATGCTAATAGAAGCTAACAATGTAGTCCAACAAGAGAAGAAACTGTGCAAATATTGCCATGGAAGTGGTATGTTCATATATTTTATCTGACATAATCAAATAATGGTATAACACAATGTTTACATAATTCAATAATGGTATAACACAATGTTTAGACTCGTAAACTGTTGAGGTATCTTATCTCTTCGTAGAGATTTATTGTTTTGAAGAATGCAAGATAGCTTTGTTATCATAACCTTATTTTACAATGACTTCGTTTTCCTTAGTTCATGGTACTAGATTATTGTCAAAAGTGACGATAATATCCTTTCGTGATCTTTTGGTAGGATACTTGGCATGCGCACGCTGTTCAGCTAGCGGTAAATGCCTTTATACCGAACCTATTTCAGTGAATGGTTCTTATCAACCGTTGCGTGCACCATCTCTTAAAAGATGTGCAAATTGCTCTGGGACAGGAAAGGTATGAAACATGATCATCTTTAAATTTTCATGCATTTAACAGTCATCTTAGGATATCAATCTGAAAGTACAGAGTTTTCGGTTTACAATTCACAGATTTATTCTTTATACGTCCTTACCCTGCAAGAAAAAATAATATGTCACGGAAGAATCGTCACAAGTTCGAGCGTCGAAAAAATCTTGTGACGGAAGGATAAAACCGTCATATTTATCCACATTTGATGACTTTCATCATAAACATTCCGTCACAAATGTGTGTTTTGCTTATAGTGTATTAACGTGCTCATGCATCGCTCATCATGTATTTTTTACTACTTTGCCTTATCCTACATATGTGCTAATTTATGTTGCGTGGACTCTCCACAACTGCTGCCACTCTCACATCGGATCCTCCAAAAGTGCACTACTTTTGGAGGATCCGACACAAATCCGGCGATATTTTTGGAGAGTCCGGGCAACATAAATGCTAATGGATTTTGTTTCATTTTATTGTTATTATTATTTTGTAGGTGATGTGCCCTACATGTCTGTGCACTGGGATGGTGATGGCAAGTGAACATGACCTTCGTATAGATCCATTTGATTAGGACATACAACCCCTTAACATATATAGCCACTTTTCATTTTGTAACTTACATTCAGAAAACCTTTGCTTCATTTTCTATTTTTTTATTTCATTTTTTCCTTTGTTATAAATCATAGTTGATATAAAACACCCTAGTTAAAGCCAGGCCTTTGGTAATAAAGATGATAACTTCTCATCTTTTTATGAGTAATAATTGGATTTTAAAAATCCTGATTAGTACTCCAAAATTTCAAATTAACTCAGTAATCTTTTCTTCGTTAGTAGAGTAAGTAGTCAATACAAAGTTTGTTGTTATCATTGAATAAATCCTCTGATTAAGGAAAGGGATTTTTACACAAATAGCCGGCGGATTCACCATTTACTTTTTCTAATAGATTTACATATATTATACACTGATTATATTATATAGGATTATACATATATCTTATATCCTTCGGCTATTAGTTATTTAACAGTTCCACCAATTAACTGTCTTCAAGCAGTCTTTCTTGGGGAATAAAGAGTGGTAGGGGTTAAAAAGGTTAGTAATCTACCTTTTTCTTATCCAAATTGGTGACCAGAATTTGTTTCATCACTGTAATTAACCAAATATCCGTCTGCAGCAAAATAAACCTTACGGAAAGTTTGAAGAACGGTGGAAGACGGCGGACTTGAGTTGTTGACGTACAGGAACGGCTCAGTCCTGAATAATTAGAGACTATAAATCGCAACTAGGATGCTATTTATAAGCCGCAATTCCAAATGCGATTTGAAAACGCCGATTTGAAAACGCTATTTATAAATCGTATAAAATGACTGCGATTTAATAGAGTCCGTTTGGATTAGCTGATTTGAAGTAGCTGATAAGCATTAGGTGCTGAAAAGTACTTTTAAGTGTTGAAACTGATTTAATAAATAAGCAGTTACGTGTTTGGATACAAGTGCTGAA